GTGAACATTCTTTATCATTTCACAGTTGCGGGTTTATTGATTTATTGATTGATAATTATTGAGCGTGGATTTGGCCTTGAACACACTTGTTTTTTCAGTGTAACCAATTTCAATTTTCCCCAAACCGCTGGTTAACTCTAACTAACCTTTTTAGCAACCAGGGTATGATGTTTCAGGAGAGAAAGCGTCTTCTGCTTCATCAACGATATCCACCTAAAACAATTCATATTTATCACTTACTAGTTGGTCTTTATCCTTTTAAGATCATTAACCTGCACTATAATAAAACATTTACATTATAGTGATATCCGTGTCACCTATTACCTACGGACAAGGCAGCATCGGAAATTACTGTCGGTGTTGTGCTACGGGTTTATTCTTACTTCCTGGTTACATAGTTTACTGTTTGATTAATGGAGCAAACCAATCAGATTAAAGGTGGCTTGTAGCGAGGTAATGCAATGCCGGCGTTTGAGTGATTATGGCTTAAAGACAAAATTATTAAGAATAGACTGTTGATCTGATGACCAGAGACAGTGTGAAACGCACAGAACAAAACATTGAGTAGATAGAAAAATAAGGAAATGAAGAATTTTCTATGAAGGCGGGAGCTAATCAGTTGTTGTCTTTCCAATGTTATTTTATACCATGTCCAATATTATGAAGACAATGAACGTCAACATAACAGACCAATATCTATATGGGGGCGTGGTCTGTCTTGTGAGTAAAAGTTTTATTACCCTCCATATCGATAAAACCAACATTGACATTACGTCAATTCCACATAAAACTTATTTGGAAAGACAGGCAAAAATACATAGAGTATTTATCTTTGAGTAATTATTCGCGCATTCACAAGCATTTTATAGTTTTCAATGCTTGACACAAAAGATTATCAAACATTTACGAGAAGTATAGTATTTAAACTCTCTGTCATAAAATTAGAAATAAAACTCAATTATGATACAAGTTGATTCCTACCTTGGGACACATTTTAATGGATTAATATCCCGTGGCTTGTGTTTCTGAAGTACAGTTTTACAAAATCGGTATCAGATTTCTAGCTGCTTAATTCCTGACAGGATTTTAATAAAATCTCGCACACTCAACACACATGACCATGACATATTATTTCACTTTGGTGATGGAACTGTATTGTCAGATTGTCACAATGACCTAATGCATTGTTCTATTAGAATCAAATCTCCGTGTAAATTTTTAGTTCATATTTTCCTTAAATTGATTGAATTTGAGTTGGCATTGTTGTTGTTTTTTTTTTTTTTCTTGCTGTTTACTGATAGGCCGTAAATTGGTTAGTTGTATTGTGCTAATTGCACAACGTGCAGGTACTATGTCTTCATTTTGTTGGACAGATCTGTTCAGTTCATCATTTTACCACGCCTTTAATCTTTTTAACAATAATTCCGATATTGGTTAAAATCGATATTATAACCTGAAAGAAAATATTGAAGCTCTTTTTTTCTTGGAACTCTGCGAAAAATGATATGTTTTTCATTCAATGTTCAAAGTGACGTTTTCAATACAATGTTTCTGCATGCCCTGGTCAAAATGTATTGAATATTATAGATGATATCCGTAAACCGATCAAGAGTCTATTTTAACACTTTCGGTTTTTAAATACTGTTTTTGTAATGGCGGCTTCATTTCTGAAGAAGAGTGGTAATTATCCTAATGCTTCCTAGCTGTATATACATTTGTCAGACATTAAAACGTGGGTGTAAACCCTTTTTTGCTTGTTTTACGTTATCACAATGTTACAATAAACTACTCTGGTGTATTTCTCTAGACAGGGTTATTCGAATTATATATGCCCAGGATGTAATATTTTCGTGAAATTAAAGACCATGTCTGGGTTTCCATTAAATGAGATTGCTGTTAGTGTGTCTTTGGGGAAAGGTTGGTTGGACCGGACCACTTACCTCCGTTACATGTCAGCGTTTGCAACTTCGTTGTGTGCTATTCACTGATCAAATGAAAAACGGTTTTTGTTTCAAAAATGCGTTAGAATTGCTTCAGGGTTCCATAGAAAAAAGTAAAAAGCTTCCTGTGATGTTAATTTTGTCAAGTCATTCCGCTGAAGGTTGAATAAATTACATCAGGAAAAAAGGAATGTCGGCTTGGGGAAAATGTATCCATTTTACCGGTTATAGAAGGTTGCATCAACTTGACTAATTCAGTTGTCATAATCTATAAAAAAAGAGTCCATGGTTGGCGACATTAACCTTGGTTGCCACTTTCATAGCCATTGTTATGACGTAAAATTCACAACGTAGAAACATCATCATGATGCTAAACCCTTGCAACAATGCTAAAAAGCAACAATATAGCTTTACGTTGACATGTCGTAAATATTGCGAATGGCTTCTTTTCTGTTGTGCACGTTTGTTGGTCTTTCTGCTGTCAGCTTACAAGGGTAGAACCTCTTCGCTGTGCCTCTTACAAGCACGCCTTTTGCCGTTTCTTATTTGATAAGACAAAATACGTTTTCTATGCAATTTTAGTTTGAACTAATTGCCACTTTGATACAAGCATGAATGCCTATTTTACTACCAGATTTGTCTTTACGTCATCTGGTATACCTACTTGATACGGCCCTCGGCAGTTTCTTCACCTAAGAATAAATACTTTAGAGAGCTACACTATAACTGGGTTGGTCGGAGTTGTTACGACATATCAACATATTAATACCAATCAAAAGATATCACCTTCTTAATGAAAACATCAGATAGGGCTATATATATCTTTTGGTCCATAATGCTTTCGCGTACGGGAGCAACTTAAATGGTTTCCCCTACCAAACAAAACGAAAATTTAAAATAATGTATTGGAGGCTATCTATTTTTCGAACGAAAATTAATATTTTTTCATAAACATTTCGTGTTATTGCTATTCCTTTAGAAGTTTTTAATTGATCCTTCTCACATTTCCTTTGTACAAATAAAGGTTTCCCTCAACCCCTAGCTAGGCACGTTTAATTGACCAGAAAAATGAAATGGCCATCTTGTATTTTGATATTGAAAGTTTCTAATCGCTATCTATTTCGAAGTACTGGATGATTTTTCCTTTTATTTAAATTTTATACATAGACTCTTCTTGGTGCCTAGTTGTGCCATTTTGGTTGTGAAACCGATCACAAGAAAATGACTGACAGGCGACCATCTTCGATTTGGCAGTTATCATTATCTCTGTCGTAAGAAGAATTTTGACAATAAATCCAAAACCATTAACAGCAAAAAAAAAGACAAGGAAATATAAACATGTCCTTCAACATTATCATAATTCAAACTCAAATTTAAATAACTAGGACAAAATACGAACAAATGAAAGACTTGCACGGAGATTTCTGAAATAGGAGAATAAGACCAGATAGGAAAACAAGAACGAATAAAAATGAAACGATGCTTAAAGATGCCTCTGGGGTCTCTTTTATATTTCAGAATTCATATTTGATGCAAATTAGCCAAGCAAGGTGACACAAATTAACAATGTGTTGATAACTACTGTTCACAACTTGTATTGCCAAGATGGGTAAAACGCCTGGTTTTGTAGTGTTTGGTGTCGCATTAGCACATAAACGATCCCCCACGAATTCTATGCGAGAATGTATTCCGCGTGCTTGCCTGGGTGAGAGGCTGCGACATTTTCCTTGAGAATATGCGGGGCTACCTTAATGGTACTTCATCACTAAAATGTACAGTCGAAAACACACAGCAGGACCATCCACCCCCTACACACATATTACCGCCATGCTTAGCTTAATACAGGGGACACTCTCTACCATAGTTTAAAAGTCAAAGTGGCGAACGTTCCTCGAAAGTCATAAACTGTAAGGCAATGACCATGGCGATATCAAAAATGATATAACTATTGCTAAAGACAAGAAAACAGTCTCTTATGAATCATGCGATGGACACAGTAAGTATGGCCCTATTTCAAGGTAGTATAGCACTGAAACATCTACAATAATAAAAGTCCGATTTTACAGGATAATGAGCCACGCTAACCGTACGGATGGCTTAAGGGTTCACCATTCAAACATATTAACGGAAACAACACTGGCAAGAATTCCATTGCTATTTGATTACGTTACATAACACTTCTAAGATTAAGTGAGCTGTCTGGTGTTGACGTCAAGGTGCTTAGCAGACTTTCTAAATTTTATTATTTCCGCGTTCTATACTGATGGGTTTTTTTTTTCTTTTTTCTTTCAAAGTTTTTCTTTTCAAACCTTGCTTAGGAATTCAGCACAATAATACTTTATAGCAATCAGTAACACTAGGTACATGTACATTAAGTAACACCTGGTCTTATTCTCCTTGGGCTTTTGAGGAGTGCCTGTATAAATCTGTCTTTTGTTCCTATTTTGCCATGACCTTAACCCTTCACCTACCGGATATTTTAATCTCTTATCGGATCTAGGTTTGTAAAGACGGTATCTAGATTGTACAATATGTGGTTAGTATTATTTTCTCTAAAATGTCGATATTAAATTCATCGTTTGTTTTGATCAATTTCGTAACTTTAGTTATGATTTAGTCGTATGGAATGCTGACATGCCAAGTATGGCTCATTTTTTTCCATTCGTTCCTCTTACCACAAAAAAACTGATTGTATTATACACAGAATCTCATCACGATTGTTCCTCCTCGCATAGCTTGTTTCTCTGTTTGTGGAAATGAATTGACGAATACTAGTTTTTTTAACGTAAATATTCTAAATCTTCTTTATTTCAATATATTTTGTGACATTGAACTTCAATACAATACCTGTTGATCATTGAGTTTTGAAATCAACAAAATATATTTAAAACCAATAAGTGTACAACAACTTTTAAACTCCGCCCCAATTGCTCTTTACTACTTCAACGTCTACTTTCCTTGGTGTAGTTTTTACAAATCGCGCACGCTTTGTCGGTTTTTGGCCACAGAATATTACAAGAACGATAAAGTGAAGATAAATCGAGTGTGAAAGGACCTTACCTGCCAGTAGAAATTAAATCCGGGATTCGTTGTATCACTTCCGTTTTGCAATGCTTCCGGATGTGACGTATTCCACAGAAAAGAAGCGTTCAGGTGATATGATGAAGAAACTGTCTCATGATTATTGTCCACTAATGACGTCACCGGGATTGTCATTGTTGAGAACGTCATGCTGTTTACCACACTTTCAGTACAATTAATCCGTAGTTTTTGTCAATTTTTTCCTTGAAACAAAATGCTTCCCAATTTTACTTTTTTGGTATTATTATCAATGAATTAAATAAGAAAACAATTTTTTCGGGTCAATGATGTTCCAGACAGGACATGTAACAAAACGGCAACAATCTCAATGTTTTGTTATGTGTCTTAGTTAAAAACATTTGTTGTGAATATTGTGTCTTAGAAAGTACTGCTTGGTTATATGACGAAGAAGTTCTTGGAAAGTTAATATTTAGAAAGCAAACCTCCCATCCTTAACGTCTGTACAATTACACTTTGGGTCATTAAAGGTTGCCTTCACAATCACCTGAATGCCGTGTATGATGTTAAACGAGTCTTTCTAAACAATTCAGAAAGCATTAGAATGACGTATTCTCAACTTCATTTCACGCGAAAATAATACGTGTCGCGTTTACATTGGAATTTTTCTTACAACCGGAAATTGCAATTCAAAAACTATGTTAACGGCCGTCCTTGAATCTTGCGTCGCAGTCAAATAAGCCTGGGAACTTTCATAGAAGTACAAAGAGAAAATGCTTCCTTGATGTAGGATAATTGTGATAACGAACAACTAATGTTTCCAATTATCTAATCAGATGTAACTATGACGAATTGCAGCTCACGTGTAATGGACTTTAACATCCTAATATATCCGTTAAACTCTCTCGTTAAAATCGGTATCATTTTAATAAGTCAAATATAAAGATAAATCGTCCTATCCTGAAGATTCTTTATAGCGCTATGCACCACACTGTGTAAATTATATTACGCTGGAACGCTTTATTTTGTCCTCATCAATTCCACTGGCATCCTTTCCGTACTCGTAGAAAATTATATCATTCACACGACTTAAAACATACATTCGCATGGATAACCAAAGGAAAATGATTTAAGATGTCATAAATTGTTGAATTATACACAACACCCTGTTCGTAACGGTAACAATCCAACAAGTTGAGTTGACTTTTTTGGACGGTTCGTTAACAAAGTGACAGTTGTACTGGTGCCCAACAGCGTTTGCTCCCTTCCTATACTCACTAAGAGCCTCCAATATGTGAATCGCATAGAAATCAATAAGATGACTTCGACTGGCTGATTGCATCCGTAGGCCTATTTTCACTTTCCTTGTATTAGACATGGCACTCTATGAAAATGCCTTGCCATTACATGTAATCGTGTGAAAGACCAGGAATGGGTGGGATTCTTATTCAATTACAAGTCTCATGATAGATACTAATTCTCTGCAGACAAGTCTGAATTGAAAACCTTTTCGTGGACGAGAAACAAGTTTAGGCACCCATTCGGTTTGTAATTCCAAAGCGCTCTAGGGCACACTCGCTGGGCCTGGAATCATTTCCTGAAGTGCTTAACTTATAATCATTGCGGCACTTTTTTTACGAAAGGGTAAAATTTAGACCACTAAAAACAAGATTGACAATAAAGAATGAAGTTCTATAGTTTAAAATGTTTTCGAGTATTAATCACTTATCGATTAAAAATATCACCAAAATCTTCTCTCCCCCCCCCCCCCCCCCCCCCCCCCCCCCCCCCCCCCAAAAAAAAAAAAAAAAAAAGAAAAGAATTAAAGATATGCAGTATTTGGATATAATTGAATTACCGCACATCGCGAGTGATGGTGGTCAAGGCACTGTTGCGGAAGGTTGTGGGAGATCTCTATTTACGGGAGTGGATCACAGTTCTTTGATTATTATTGGCTTGCAAATTATGTGTACGCGTGGTATGCCTGAATCAATTGTTGCACGTTAAATATTAATATGCTATTCGAACAATATCTTAGCTGTTTATCACAGGTGAGATCTTAAGGTATATCATACTAATGGTATTGCTATTCCTGGTCACGAAAGGAAAACGTTTAACCTAAATACCACTGGTTTATAATATAGACAAACGCCAAACCTATCGATAGTCGATCCATTAAGTTATAGGTTGTATCCTCGAGCGTATGACAAAGTACTGTCGGCTTAACTATTCAACAAATACATATAGTATATGAGTAAATTCTGTGGATGTCTTGTCTGTTAAATATACAAGTCTTGGAAATCTGAAAGTTGTTGAAGATATAAATTGAAAGGTGATTAATAAATATATACTAGACTTCGTTCAGAGGCATTCATATTTTTAACGACAGTAGAAAATTTCGAGTTTACAGTGAAGTAACACTTTTAAATACAACATTGAGTTAGAAACAGTAGAACAAAACCATGAACTGTTAGTCAGAGATATACGACAGATTCTTCTGCGTCAGCTGTTTATCTCGATAATTTCCTACGACGAATCCAACAAGGACAACTTTCCATGAAGCTGTAAGATAAACGTGATGATTTCAATTTCCCTATTGTGAATTTTCTATTTCTCGATAACAATATTCCTGCATATTCAAGGGACTGTTTCCATTATCACGATTTTCGTGCAAGAAGTCGTCAACTGACTGACAAACTCGTAACACAGGGGTTCAAAAGATGCAGGTTAATGAATTTGCTTATGGTCACCATAGTGATCTCATTTAGAAATATTCAAATTCTTTGTTTGACATGTAGCTTGACGTGTTTGATGCTCGTTAGTTTGCCTGGTGCTTCCGTTGTTGTGTACCTTGTTCTCATTTGAGAACGTGACATTACTTGGATTGACCAATGTTTACATGGATGAAGCAGAGGACGCTTACCCTTCGGAACATCTGGTTTTAAAATCCTTCTTTAAGGAGACTTTTTAGTTTTTAATTTTAGAACAGTGTCAAATACATGTGTTTATTATGAACCTAACCACATTTCAAATTAATTGGAACGTGTCATGCTGGTTACGGTAAACCTCGTGGAGTTGAAGTCAACCTGCAGTGTCTACCACCTGCTATTGTACAGAAGACATGCAGGTGAATAACACATTTTTTAGATTACAGTATTGCCAAACAATTAATTAAATTGCATTCTCGAACTCGTCAGTAATGCCAAAGGTCTATATTTTTTGAAGCCTGTGAGGCGACTGAAGAAAATGCAAAGTGATCGAAAGAAAAGACAAAATGTAGACGGGTACGTGCAAGAGCCCCCTAATTCAATAAATTCCGAAGTTATTTCCGAGAACATCAATTTCCACCAATAAGTTTTAGCTATACCAGTACAAAGGACAAAGGAAAAATGAAATACATAATGTGAAATAGCATCAGACAAGGATACAAGAAAAGTATTTCCAATGATGATGTTTTTATTTTTTATGACCGGAAGAGGTATGTTGCCTTAAAAAAACACGGACACAACTCATGCACTCACCTCGCATACATGAGGGTGCAGTCCTGAAATGACCATAGCTGTTGGTGCTGCGTTGAACAATATATAACAAAACCATATATATACCTCATTCTCATACACCCGTGACCCCAGAAATCTGATACGAAAAGTCTTTTTTTTTTTTTTTTTTAATAATTGCGTTGATGAATTGATTTTTTTTTTTCATTCTTTTTTTCTGCTTGCTTTCCTTAATTCGGTTGTTGTATACAGGCAAAATAACGAGCAATAATATGTGTGTTAGAGTTTGGTCTAGTTTTATTATCTAACGTCTTATCGACAGCTAGAGTCATGGATATGTTGAATGTGCGAGTTTTGGGAGGCTACAATGGTCGTGTAAAGTGCGGAACTGTAACCGATTTTATAGTGATCCGACAATAGATTCTACAGTAGAAGGTCTCTAGAAAGACACTCCACCTAGTCACATTATACTGACAATGGGTGAACCAGTCGTTATATCATCCGGACATTGAGCACAGAATATCGACTACAAGTTTTTTTTAAAACGATCATTTGTAGGCCAAAATTTTGGAATAAGAGAGAAAATATGAAGATTGCAAGTTTAGTTCTACGACCATACACCAGAGTGGCAGCAGGTGCATTTCTTACTGCAGGGCATGTGTGTTAGGGTGTGAGGTAAAACTGTTACGCTGTACCTGTAGGGCAGGTGTGTTAGGGTGTGAGGTAAAACTGTTACGCTGTACCTGTAGGGCAGGTGTGTTAGGGTTTGAGGTACAACTGTTACGCTGTACTTGTAGGGCAGGTGTGTTAGGATTTGAGGTACAACTGTTACGCTGTACTTGTAGGGCAGGTGTGTTAGGATTTGAGGTACAACTGTTACGCTGTACTTGTAGGGCAGGTGTGTTAGGATTTGAGGTACAACTGTTACGCTGTACTTGTAGGGCAGGTGTGTTAGGATTTGAGGTACAACTGTTACGCTGTACCTGTAGGGCAGGTGTGTTAGGATTTGAGGTACAACTGTTACGCTGTACCTGTAGGTACAATGGGTGAATGTTATTTACTAATAAGTGAGGATATGAAAGAGATCCTTGTTATATACATACATGTTTCATGAAAAAAAATAAATTTATCAAATAGACACTGATCTACATTCACAATGTATAAAATCACAAACATAGGTATTTATAGTAATTACTGAAATGTTCTCCGAACAAAGGGGCAATATACACAGTGGTCGGTAGATAATGTCGTTATGTAAAGTTAGTATTCTAAAGTCTGTTCTATTCATATAAATCTTATATAAACATGGTCAGAACATTTATTGAAATTCTTTAAGTATTAATCCGTTTTCTAACAGAAAAGTATCGATGCTTCGGTAAGGCCCATCGTACATACAGCTGTGTGTATAGGCAGGGGATCCAACGTGTTGGTACATGGGTCGGATGCGGGATGCTGTTTTCCTTCTCAGAATATCGCGTAATCTGCTTGATAACTTCTAAACCAAAAAATGTCAGTAAATCTGTCTTCCACGAATGGAAACAGCAACCATTCTATCACCGAAGCGCGATATTCATTAGAACCTTACATTCTACACACAAGAGAAATCTATACGTTTCTGTACTAATCGATGGCTCCCGATGCGCTATTCTGTGGCCATATTTGCTAATTAAACCAAATTACATGCTCATCCTACTA